GTAGTAGTAGTATATATATATATATATATATATATATATATATATATATATATATATATATATATATATATATATATATATATATATATATATATATATATACTGATATTATTTCTCATCCCACCCCACCATAGGAACCGTCTTCACCACCCACGCCACACTGCTGGGCCGGTACCTGTGTGCGGGTGCGGAGGACTTCTACAACAAACTGGAGCATTTCGATTGCGAATACGAAGCAGGTGAGAGACAGATCTACCACAGATACTGTTTGGAACGGTCGGCCGCCCATTCAGCACACGTGTTCACCACAGTCTCACACGTCACGGCATTGGAAGCTGAGCACTTGTTGAAGGTACTGCGAAGTGAAAGTGACAGTGTGAAGTAATGGCCACATACGTTACTGTCCCACAATCTCAAGGGTATTGATTCATATTGCATGTGCAAATTCACACCACTCCTGGGTATATATGTAGTATATGTATGTATATATATATATAATGTATGTATGTATATGTGTGTGTATATATATATATGTATATGTAAATATGTATATAGTTCATTATTCAAAATGTACTGTTCTTTATCGGGATGTACAGTTATTTTCATAGAATATTGTGGACAGTACAAACCTCTTACCGGTGGTCTGCATAGTCTTATACACATACACGCGAGATATACAAGGTTGTCACTGATACACATAGATACAAGAATTTATTACCTATATTGATATGTGTAATATGGATTCGGCGCGATTTCGAACTTATTCTCTCATGCGGATCCTTTATTATCTAATTTCAATCTCGATGCACACACTTTTTTTTTGTGTGGTTCATATGTATGTATCTATTATCATATCATTATAGGCATGTATTGTACATGAATAAAATGCTTATCACCGTCGTTCCTCGCCATACATCACAGCGAAAGCCAGACGTAATCCTACCCAATGGACTCAATGTGGTCAAGTTCGCCGCACTGCACGAGTTCCAGAACCTGCACCAGAAGGCAAAGGAAAAGATCCACAAATTCATCCGCGGACACTTCTACGGACAGCTAGACTTTGATCTCAACAAGACCCTGTACTTCTTCCTGGCTGGAAGGTATGCACATATATCTATATATCTATATATGTGTGTGTGTGTTTGTCTGTGTATGTGTATGTGTATGTGTCGTATATGTACTGTTACGTCTATTTTGATTTTGCCGCTACAGTTCATTACAGGGATATAAGCTATCCGTGTGGTCACCCCACTTGCTTGTGCAGTATAAGTTGGCGTGTGCTCGTTGGACCTCAACAAGGCCCTGTACTTCGTCTCAGTTGGTAACTGTCGCGGAATGAGTTTCAGGCTATGGTAAGGATGTATTGTACCTGCAAACCCTGCTGGTCGGTTCGTATGGTGAGTAGAAGTGTGTTTTTTTCCCAAATCTGTGACAGTTCATATAACTGACGATCATGCTGAACAATACACAGCTTATGGGACTTCACAGCTTATAGCACGACCGCTTGCATTGCCCGATGAGATGGCTATAAATACTTCGGAAGTGTGTTCAAATACTTCGTATTGGCCAATGAGATGGCTACAAATACTCCGGAAGTGTGTTCAAGTTCTTCTTGTTGCCCAATCGCAATCGTAAGAATTAGGAGCGTACTTGTGCATCACGATACTAGCACAACCTTCATTATCACATGAAACAAACGGCTCAAGCGCGTAGACCTGATCTGATAGAAGTCACATTATCGGACAACGGTTAACATTTTAGGACAATGGTTAACGTTGTCGGACAATAATTGCATTCCATTAATTTACAGGGCTATAATTAATATCCAAAAAAAACCCCCCCTTTCTAACGACGTGCCTGCTCAGGTACGAGTTCACGAACAAAGGATGCGATCTGTACATCGAGGGTTTGGCACGCCTCAACCACCGGCTCAAAGCGAGTGGGTCTGATAAGACAGTGGTTGCCTTCATAGTCATGCCGGCACCTACGAACAACTACGGCGTCGAGGCTCTTAAAGGACAGGCTGTGCTGAAGAGTCTGGAGGATACCATCGATGTGGTCGAGAAGGATATCCGCGGAAGGCTGTTCGAGTCTGCCGTAAGGTAGGTATATATGTAAGTATGTATGTATGTATGTATGTATGTATGTATATATAAATA